ATATATATATATATATATATATATATATATATATATGGTAGTGAAAGAATAAATTAAAAAAATTTTGTTAAATTAATTAAAAGAAAAAAAGAATTGTGCTCTAAATCAATTTGCAAAAAATTTATGTATAAATTAATATAATGAACGTGTCGATATGTTTTTTTGAAATGATTTCTTATTTATTATTTAATAGATGGGTTTTGAATTAAATAATATAAAGAAACTAATAAAAGGCAGTAATGACTGCGATGCACAAGAAAAAAAATTGGATCATTTATTCGATGAATTCGTAGATTTGACTAATAATTGTACTTCAAGGAAGTTGAATGAAGCGATACATCTTTCGGCTGAAATAGATGTGAAATCTGGAAACTTATTGAATGATCTCAATAATATTAGTATGAACGCGGCAAAGTGTACAAAAATAAACGAATTTCCACTTGAAATCATGAATTGCTTAAATGACGTAAGTACATCAAATCATATAATGATATTTATAAAATATATAATAAAAAATAGTTTAAGAAAAATTCTATATATATAAATTCCCATGAAAAGCAAAACAATTATTATATATAATATGTACATAAAGTATCCTATCGCATCTACTTCGAGGAATGAAGTTATACGTGAAAATAATAAAAAAAGTTCATATAAACACATGTTCCATTTAATCTTGTTTTAGAATTATAGTGAACATTATATATTAGGATAATTTTTAATTGAATTATTATTCTTAATTGAAAAATAAAAATAATTTAATTAATTTCATTTGTAATCCAATATAAATATATTTATATATAAAATATTCATTGATAATTGATAAAACATTTTCAAATTTGTTCGAAAGAGAGTCATTTTAAAAATCTTTTAAATAACATAAGCAAAAAAAGTGTATTAAATAAGAAATACGTTTAGTAAAACGTATAATACGTTTAGTAAAACGTATAATACGTTTAATAAAACGTATAAAAGGTTAAATAGAGGATATATTTGTATAAATTTTTTTTGTTGTTTTCATTAATCTATACAAACAATTCCTCAATGTGGCAGAATATATGAAATATAAGAAAATACATAAATTACATAAAATATATAAACACATTGAATATTGTCAATAATATATTGACATTATAAAAATCATAAATTAACGATCAATGAAAATAAAATATATTATTATTAATAAAATAAATATAATGTAAATTATATACAAATTTAAAATTTTATAATTGTAAAAAGCAATAAATATTTAAAATAGTAATATATTTAAAATAGTAATATAAGATCAAATATGAAAATCAATATTAATATAAATATTATTTCTATTTTATATGATAATTATAGGCACTGAATAAGGCAGTACAATATTCACTTGTGGATATTTTAGAAGCTACGAAAGAAAATGATTATATTATTACTCTTATTATAAAACTGAAAATATCATTAAATAATTGCAACATAGACGAAGTAAAAAATGTTTCAAAACAAATTACTGCATTAAGAAATCAAATTAAAGAATGTTATAAAAATCTATACACAAGTACCCCGAGTTCTTCCACAAGTACATTGCAACCAACGACTATCACAAAACCTGTGATTACATCGACAAGCAAACCTAGCACAGAACAATTTACCAGCACAGAGCAATCAATTTCGAGTAGTACGGAAGAATCGTCTAGCTCTAATACACAGTCCACTTCAGATAGCACAGGAGGGTCATCTAGTTCTAGTACAGGACAGCCATCCTCAAGCAGCACAGGAGGATCGTCTAGCTCTAGTACACAACAATCTGATTCAAGTAGCACAGAACAACCAAACAGTTCGAGTACAGCGCAATCAAGCAGCACAGGAGGATCGTCTAGCTCTAGTTCAGAACAACCAAGTTCAAGTAGCACAGGAGGATCATCTAGCTCTAGTACAGAACAACCAAGTTCAGGTAGCGCAGGAGGGGCGTCTAGCTCTAGTACAGGACAGCCATCCTCAAGCAGCACAGGAGGCTCATCTAGTTCTAGTACAGGACAGCCAAGCTCAAGTAGCACAGGAGGATCGTCGAGCTCTAGTACAGGACTGCCATTCTCAAGCAGCACAGGAGGATCAGCTAGCTCAAGTACAGAACAACCAAGTTCCGGTAGGACAGGAGGAGCGTCTAGTTCTAGTACAGAGCAACCAAGTTCAGGTAGCGCAGGAGGGGCGTCTAGCTCTAGTACAGGACAGCCATCCTCAAGCAGCACAGGAGGCTCATCTAGTTCTAGTACAGGACAGCCAAGCTCAAGTAGCACAGGAGGATCGTCGAGCTCTAGTACAGGACTGCCATTCTCAAGCAGCACAGGAGGATCAGCTAGCTCAAGTACAGAACAACCAAGTTCCGGTAGGACAGGAGGAGCGTCTAGTTCTAGTACAGAGCAACCAAGTTCAGGTAGCGCAGGAGGGGCGTCTAGCTCTAGTACAGGACAGCCATCCTCAAGCAGCACAGGAGGCTCATCTAGTTCTAGTACAGGACAGCCAAGCTCAAGTAGCACAGGAGGATCGTCGAGCTCTAGTACAGGACTGCCATTCTCAAGCAGCACAGGAGGATCAGCTAGCTCAAGTACAGAACAACCAAGTTCACGTAGCACAGAAAGACCATCTAGTTCTAGTACAGGATTGCCATCCTCAAGCAGTACAGGAGGATCATCTAGCTCTAGTACAGGACTGCCATCCTCAAGCAGCACAGGAGGATCATCTAGCTCTAGTACAGGACTGCCATCCTCAAGGAGCACAGGAGGATCATCTAGCTCTAGTACAGAACAACCAAGTTCAGGTAGCACAGGCGGATCGTCTAGCTCTAGTACAGGACTGCCATCCTCAAGGAGCACAGGAGGATCATCTAGCTCTAGTACAGAACAACCAAGTTCAGGTAGCACAGGCGGATCGTCTAGCTCTAGTACAGGACTGCCATCCTCAAGGAGCACAGGAGGATCATCTAGCTCTAGTACAGAACAACCAAGTTCAGGTAGCACAGGCGGATCGTCTAGCTCTAGTACAGGACTGCCATCCTCAAGGAGCACAGGAGGATCATCTAGCTCTAGTACAGAACAACCAAGTTCAGGTAGCACAGGCGGATCGTCTAGCTCTAGTACAGGACTGCCATCCTCAAGGAGCACAGGAGGATCATCTAGCTCTAGTACAGAACAACCAAGTTCAGGTAGCACAGGCGGATCGTCTAGCTCTAGTACAGGACTGCCATCCTCAAGGAGCACAGGAGGATCATCTAGCTCTAGTACAGAACAACCAAGTTCAGGTAGCACAGGCGGATCGTCTAGCTCTAGTACAGGACTGCCATCCTCAAGGAGCACAGGAGGATCATCTAGCTCTAGTACAGAACAACCAAGTTCAGGTAGCACAGGCGGATCGTCTAGCTCTAGTACAGGACTGCCATCCTCAAGGAGCACAGGAGGATCATCTAGCTCTAGTACAGAACAACCAAGTTCAGGTAGCACAGGCGGATCGTCTAGCTCTAGTACAGGACTGCCATCCTCAAGCAGCACAGGAGGATCATCTAGCTCTAGTACAGGAGTGCCATCCTCAAACAGCACAGGAGGATCCTCTTCAAACACACCTATTAATACCACACCAATCTCAAATACTACTTTGCCTCCTTGTGTATGTTTTAGTTATGGTTCTTAATTTATTCCATTATAAATGGAATAAATTATCCAATATGAAAAATATTTTTTTTTGTTTGAAAGATACATTAAGTTATATTTATTTATAAATTGGATGAATTTATTAATTAATAATTGAACTATGTGTCATTGTTCGTAATAAATTTATATTATTGAAATATAATGTTTTCAATACTGTCTACTGGAAATATTATTATTTTGAATTTTACTAGATAAATTTTGATCTTTATTTTGAAGATTGATATCATTGTGTGTAAAAAAATGAATGATGTCTAATATGGTCATTCTTTTTGAAAATGATATTAATTTTATTTCTCACTTTGCAAAATAACTAACAATATGTTATTCTTGGAGAATGATGCGTATGTTCACATGTATTATTGGAAAAAAAAGAGTATTTAAATAAATTTCTAAATCTTGAAATTTTGAAACATCTCAATATTATTTATCACCAATAACAATTATATAATAAATACTTGAAGAACCTTAAAGTCAGAATATTAAAGATAAAACTTTGAATCAAATGTTTTCTAATATTTATCAATCTAATTTCAATTATTCGTGTCATGAGTAGTTTCCACCTTCTCAAGAATCTCATGTGAAAAATAATTTAACTCTGAAATGAGATACTAACTTATTCGTTAACGAAGTCTGAGTCGTTTTGTCTGCTTATGTTCATCTGATCGTTGTGTTAGACCCTTTTCCTCGGAGGATAAGCCACGATCCTCAAGAGGAAAGTACTTCATACCAAAAAAAAAGAAATAAGTGGCACGCGAGACGACGTGCCACGTCCTTCAAGGTTTTTCCCGGCATCATTGCGTTTCCTCTAACAAGAGATGCGAAACTATCACCATATAGTGTTCTTCATTAATCGCAAAAAAGAAAGACGAGTAAGAGATAAGGAGAGATATTCGATAAAAATAATTTCGTTCGAATTTATTATCATAATTTTTTTGTCATTTTTTACAATATTTCATATAAGTGTACATATGTATCTCTTAAATTACGTTATAAATATTTCCTTGATTTTTTATTTCAAGAAATTATTACACCATTCTGAAATGGCTTTGGTTTCTAATAAAATTAAGTGATTAATGTAAATAAGGAGATTGACAAGACAATCGGATGATTTCGATGCAAACGGTGTTTCTTCCTTGAATAAAATTAAGCTTGATGAAAGATAACGAAATTCAATCAAGTTTAGTAGAAAATTGTGTACAATATTTTGTTTGCAACAAATACGTAATTAAAAATGGAATAAATTAAAGAAATGTAAAATAAATTAAATTAATAATAATATTTTTTTTTAACAAAGAAATTAACCTTGAAACATCTTTTCAAATTACGTCTTGTACTGTAAGATATTATTTACTTGATTTTTAAAATTTTTATTCGAAAAATAAATTATAAAGTGAATAAAGGATCGCGGTTTATTTATTATCCGTTTCAAATGACTGTGGTTCTTTTCTTGGTAATATCAGGAAATGTCACTTACACGCACAAAGCTAAAACCGCAAGATATGCGAGACACGCTATAGTCTGAGCATAAATAAAAATGAAGAATTGCTCTTTTCTCGAGGACAGTATTACTTCACGTTTCAAATTTAAATGTTCTTAAGAACGAGACAGGATAAAAAAAAATGTTAGAAAATTATCTTCCCAATGTCTCGTTTGAGACTTTTTTTTTTTTTTTGAATACGAAATAATACGATATAATCATCAAAATGATATAATGATATGTAATCACGAATATGATATATATATTGAAACAGTGTTCAAAGAAAATTAAATTATTTCATTAAAAAAATTTTTTTTGCAACAATAAAACATTTTCATACAAAAATAAGAATAATTAGAGTAAAAAAGTTAAACAAAATTATCGATAAACTTATTGTTGATCATTAATAATCTATTTTAAAAAAAGGAATTATTCGTAAAAGTATTATTTTTCTTTATTTTTCGCACTTTTTTAATTTATTACGCTATTCGAGATTATGGTCAAGACCGTACGTTCTAAAAGTCCAAATAGTATGAATTTTTATTCCACAGTGAGATTAAAATATGATCTCGCGAAGAGATTTCTTTATTTACTTTTTTTTCCCCTTTTTCCGACAATATTTCAACATCCGCCAGGGTCATATCCGGCGATCGATACAACCCCCTCTGTTACATAGAATTTGCCGTTTTAAATAGAAACATAAAATATTCCTTCCAAGATAATAATTTATATATGTTCATTTTCGCGAGTTAAACGAGCCACGTGAATAATATATAATAATAATTTCCACGGAAGAACGAAAGAAAAATGGAAGACGATTAAATACAAAGATATTTTATTTATCGATAATTATGTTATTATACTATTCCATTTAATATATTTTAACGTAATTTCATCGTTATTATCTATAAATAAAAATATACGATAATAAAAAAATATAACGTAACGTATTTTACACAATATTGACAATTATTTTTTTATTAAAGCAAGCGAAAGCTGTCTCTTTTATTCTTTTTTACAACTGCTTTTCAATGAATAGAATACAAAGAATTATTTATTTCAATTCAATGATAACATATATATATATATATATGTTGAAAATTGACAACTGAAAAAAAGGTTAAGAAAATTTATGATAGAGCGCATTCTCATCACACCGTCCAACGACAGCCATGGTTGAAAAACAATTGGATAACACGTTTATATTTCGATTTCGTGAATCCGGGACAGCGCGAACGCAGGTCCCGACTACCAAAAATTGTGCGCTCGACATACCCACATTAGGAGTATTCGCAAGGTTCAGCTCTACCTAAGTGCAATGGAAGAGCCTCGCCCAGAAGGAACCGCCTTCGTGATCACGGTATCCTCCGCGCCAAGTAAGTTATAATTCAATACCATTCCCGATAAACTTTATTTGCTCCCCTATCATTTATTTCTCGCGAGAAATTCCATAGAAAACGAATGTCATCTAGTGGACAACGGCCGATCGTGATCGGATCGTTTGCAGAAACGACCGACACGCTCGCTAATCTCTGTTCGTTATGCCCATTGATTTTTGCTTCGAATGGATATATATCGACCGTGTTTGCGATAGGGGACAGGGATATAGATCCGTGGCCCCGCGCAATTACGAGAACTGAAATACCGATCGCGCGGAAAATCGTTTTGTTTTTCAACGATCTTTCGAATTCTGAAGTTGGATAAATTTGATAAAGTGGGTGAAAACGAGTATTGCTATTTCTTTAACCCTGGTTTTATTAATAAATAAACCAAAAGTTTAAAGAAATTATTTTGTTCAATTTTTATCGATAAAATTTTTTTTATCCTTCTTAAAAAAAAAAAATTCATTACGTATAAAACAATTTCTCATAAGCGTATAATGAAATAATGTGTTAATTTTCTGAAGCATAAAATATCATACGATACGTAGCAATTACCGTTAACACGATGAATTGTGCAAAAAGTAAATGAAAACATGATATAAAACGTGATAAAAACTTAAATAACTCTTGTTCTCTATCGTTATCAGATAACGAACTAAATAATTTTTAACGAAACTCAATAGTAAGATAGTTCACGACACTAGTAAATATTAGTAATTTCTTCCTTTTTTTTTTTTGTGTGTATATTTGATTAAATTTATTACCACCGATATGAACAGAAAACATCTTCCAACATAATTGACATGTACCAGATCTCGTACACGTTTTAATTGCCAACGATAAATAAACAGATGATCTTCTACGGCGAGCAGTTTCGTGTAAAAATAATGATGGATCGGGGTAGATCAACGACGAAAGAGAAAAATATCGATGCACGATAAATATTTATAGGTCTATTTTTTTATCGAAAATTTCTATTTGTATCTCAAAAACTTATCAAAAAATGGGTCAATATCGACCAACGTGAACATTTTGAAAATCATTTTGAAATAATCCCAATATCATGTGTTCGAATAGAGTTTGAAGGATTCGGGCGAGATCGGACAAAATCGGGCGAGATCGTAACACTCTCGTACTGTTTCGGATCGTGAAAGTTTTTTCGAATTAGAATGTTGTGGAAGATGATATTTGAGAGTGAAATTTTCGAAAGTTACTCTCAACAGAGCATTTTTTGCTAGTTGTGAAACTGTGTTGAAAGTAAAACTTATTTTCGACTAATGAGAAGTAATTCTCGAGAATATCTCTCGTTCGTATGGAGCGGTATTAGAAATTCGGATAAATTCGGTAATAATCGGATCGAGATTATTTCAGGATCTCGAATTGTATGAGAATATCAAAATATCTAGTCGAACTTTTTTGAGTCACGAGATTGAAGTTTTATTAATATATTTTGGGAATTTTTTCTGAATATTAAAATATTTTCGTTTTGATTAAATAGATTCTTCTGATTCTTATTGATTAAATAGAATTTTCTTTATTATTAAGATATAGATAATGCGCAAGGTTTCAACTCTATTAAAATAGATGTCGAGATTCGATCAATGTGGTTACCTTGACGGAGTGTTCTCATGTGTGTTTAATCATCAAGAAGTACAAGACAAGATAGCTTTATTTAAAGTTATAAAGTTAATTTTCGTATCTTTTCTGTTTTTGTTCTTATATATTTTTCACAATGAACGATAAAATGGCAATGTTTCGCTCTTAAAAAAAGAATAATATCTCAAGTATCATTTTTGATAGAAATTTTTTAAGAGATTTGAGATTTTATTCGATAGCATTTTAAGATAAATGGAAATAAAAAGAATAGTACTTAATTTTAAGCACAATTAATTGATATAATTAAAACAAATTCTTTGATCAAAATTATAATTAATAATGATTTTACGATTGATATAAAATAAGAAAAATAAAAAATCTAAATATTTTTTTCTATTTCATAATGCGGACAAAATTGTATAATATTATATCGTCCCTGATCTAAATACATATATTTAGTCCATGATCTAAATAAGAATAGTAACGATGCACTGCATCTTGTGCATTCTGTGTTGTCCTATCTTTTTCCATGTCTCTCGAATTATATTCTTTATAACAATGTGGAAATGTCATTTGCATTTTTATTCTTTTCACATTCATTTAATTCAATTTTTTTTGTTTCGTCAATTTTTCTTTCTTTAATATTATTATAAAAAAAGTAGAATAATAGTTTATGAA